AAATGATCAACAATATACAGCTAGAAGAGAGCCAATAAGTGGCACTAACTAATCTTACGTCACTGCATTTTTGGTGGTTGTCCTGGATGATTCATAGCAGCTTAGATTATAGTTCTTAACTTTTCAGTTTTTCAGTCTTAGTTTAGTTTTTAAATTGAAATAAGAGATATTTTAGAGGACTATAGTATACTGGATACACTTTGTAAAAAGATACTTACTTGTATTGCTTGTATTAATAGTACATTTTGATGCCTTGTATATGATAATAAAATATAATCAGAATTCTATATAATTATCAAGTTAGTTATACCCTAATATAGTGATTATATAGAGATGGGACTATAAACAAATATCAGATTAATATCATATAATCTTTAACCAATCAATAATTAATTAGTAATTCATTAATTATAATTGTTCTACATTTAAAAGTTTTTTTGTACTAAATTAAACCTTTGAGTTTCTAAATAAAGTTGTAGAGCTTATTAAAATGAATTTAATAGTGGTTAAAACATCAAAATTGGCTTAGTAGATACTAAGATATCTTCAAAAATATTTTATCAATTATAGAAAAATTCTTTGTATTGTTTTACAAAGAATTTAATATAGTCAGCAAAATGTTTTTTAAAGATATCTTAGCATTTACTAGGTTGATTTTAATGTTTAACTACTATTAGATTTGCCTTAAAGAGCTCTACAACTTTACTTAAAGACTCAATAGTGGTTAACTTAGTATAAAACTTATAATTAATAAATTAGTGATTATAAAGAGGTTTTTTTATTAATAAATTTGATTTAAAAATTAAATTTTAAGGTGATAGTGATTATAAGTGATTTGTAACTATAATGAGATTTTTGTATTATGTTTTAAGTCTATTAAACAAAATAGAGCGCTTAAGGATAGAATATACAAATTTCTAATTTCATATAAAATAGATTGTGTAACAAATTTTATATGATATCATATGATTTACATATAAGCATCATATGATTTAACCAATTAGAATTAGCAATTTCTTTATACTACCTAATAAAAATATATAGCAATCTAGAAAAACTTAATTATATGTGAAGTTGATTTTTTTTAAAGCAATATATATTGCACAACTTCAATATCATAAATAAACTGTTTAAATTAGAGATCTGCAACCTGGCATCATGTCTGTGCCTAACAAAAGCCTTGGCACTACCAAGGACACTAAAACTTAAGCATGGGTATAAGTATAGGTACACAAAAATTTGGGCATGAGCATAGCATGCGCACAAAAATTTAGGCATAGGCATGGTTAGAGATGGGTTTCATGCATGCGCATGATTGAGGAATCATGTGCATTAATGTGCATTCATGCACATGATACCGTTTCATGTGCATTTTATCCCATCAAAATTTCTCTCCTCTCGATCATTTTTGCCTTTTTTTTATCATGCGATATCATGTGCATGAAACAATTCGTGTGCATTAATGCGCATTTTTCCCATCTCTAGGCATGGTACAGGTACAAAAACCTGGTATAGCCATAGAAATGGGTACAAAAAATTTAATATTTATTAATAAATTGTGTCTGGCATCTTTTTGACACTTTTTTAGCATCTTTTGTCATCTTTTTGCCTGGTATTTGTGCTTATGCCCATAAAATGCCTAGCATTTGTGCCCATGCCTATAAAAATGCCTGGCATTTGTGCCTATGCCTATAATAATTCCTGGCACTTTTGTGCCTATAGGCATAGGCATAGCATGAAGCACTAATGCATGACATAGTACCAATATGCCTGACATGAACATTTGCAGAACCCTAGTTTAAATTACATATTATATAAATTTTTACAAATAGGTTAAGATATTAAAAAGTTATATTAGAAGCATTTTTTTATTTACTATATAAAAATCTAATATACCGCATAGATCATATGAAAAATGATCTATATACATCCTACCCTTAAATAGAGATGTGACTATATGGAGTGTAATTATAAAAAGTCTGACGTACTTGGTTTATTACATTTAATACTTAGGTCTTAAGCTAAATTGGCTGGTTAATATAAAGTCTCCTTTCTGGTCATAACAATATTTACAAAACTAATGTAATCATAGATAATATTTACAAAATATTGAACTGCTGTAATCATTAACATTAAATTTCTTAGTAGTCCTAATATAATAAATTATTCCACTTTGCCTTTCTATCTTACATCTTGCATCAATAACTAAATTAGATGTTGTTTGCGATACCATGCCTCATTTAAATGGAACTAAAATTAAAAGTTGTATGTAACTACAGTATAAAACATTCTATAGATAATATCTCTATGTGACATTGGAGTGTGATGTACTATGTAAACCAAAACTATATGTGATCATATAATAAAATTTATTAATTAAGATTTTTTTATAGGTAATAAATTTTATGATAATGATTAAAAAAGTTTAAATAGATGCACAGCTCTAACAGTTTAATAGATTTGGTCAAAATTTTGCAAAGATCAGTATTACATCTCTATGAACCAAGTTAAAAGCCATTTCTTGAAAAAAATAAATTAGATTCTTTCTTTCTTGCCTTTTTAAGAAAGAAACTAATTCTGCTTCTTCCTTTTTTCAAAGAAAAAACTGGTATATTAATTTTTTTTCATAATTAAGTAAAAGAAATAGCTCCATAACTTTGTTCATAGAAACATAATACTGGTCTTTGCAAGATTTCGACTAAATCTATTGAGCCATTAGAGCTGTGCATCTATTTAAAATATTCTAATAATTATTATAAAATATAATTACCTATTGAAAACTTCATTAATAAATTTTATTATATGACCACATATAGTTTTGATTTACATAGTACACTGCACACCCAATGTGACATTCAAATGCGTTATCTAATTTTATCTAGGAAACTTGAAAAAATCTCATCATATCCTCCGGGATTCTGGTAGTATTGGGATTCTGATAGTATCGGGATTCTGGTACTGTCGGGATTCTGATAGTGTCGGGATTCTGGTCTGTCTGTCGGGATTCTGGCATTGTCGGGATTCTGACATTGTCGGAATTCTGGCATTGTCGGGATCTTAACATTGTCAGAATTTTGACATTGTCGGGATTTTGACATTGTAGAGATTTTGATATTGTTGGGATTTTGGATGTCGGGATCTTATAGATAGGTGTCGGGATTTTATACTGTCAGGATTTAGTGCATCGGGATGCAGGGACACGGAAATGATTCGATGTTTTTTAGTGCGATTCTTTCAAACTACATCAAATCACATAATTACTAATTACTTTATAGTAATTTTTATGTAACTGATAGCTATTAACGAATTTAAATCACACTAAATCACACCAAATCACATAAATTCCGAGTCCCTGTCGGGATGTATTATATAAGTGTTGGAATAAACAATTTTCCTTTTTGGATAAAATGTATTCACGTGGACACGTGTGTGTAAAATCTAAATTACACAAAAGTATGCACAATGTGCGCAAGTTAAAATTTTATATATAACTTTACAAAAAATATGTGCACATTGATTTTATACACTGGTGGACACAATAAAATATTAACAAATCAAAATTCATATATTGTAAGTTAAAGATCAACAAATAACCCGAAAATAAACATCAAATAAAATGCTACTCTCGTTAACGAATATGAATCTCATTTTTACGATGAAAGAAATTTATTTCTCCTTCTGAAAAATTATCTTTCCAAAAACACTACATTATAGGCGTTTTTAGACTAAAATTTTTTCTACTTTCCCAGCGTTAAGTTTTTCATAAAAAAAAAACAAAAAAAAAAAACAAAAAGCAAACCAGACTTATAAATAAAGTTTACAAATGACAGAAGGAAAAGCTGGTATATAAATATTTTTTATAAATTGAAATTTTAATATTTAATATTTTACCATTTTAATGTGTTTTATCTCCTTACGCACTTTAGTTGGTATTGATTTAGGAACGACATACTCTTGTGTCGGTTTATGGCTAAACGACCGAGTTGAAATTATTGCAAACGACCAGGGTAATCGAACGACACCTTCGTATGTTGCTTTCACCGATACAGAGCGTCTGATTGGTGACGCCGCAAAAAACCAAGTCGCCATGAATTCTTATAATACTGTTTTTGGTACCAAACGTCTTATTGGTCGTAGATTTACTGATCCTGAAGTACAAACGGATATGAAGGCATATTGAATATTTGATTTTTTATTAAGTAGACTTTGCAAAGATCTAATAATTTCGAGATATGCAATTATTTGCCAATAGAAAGCAAGATAAAGTGCATTATTAATACTAAGCTATCAATTTTAATAGTTTATTATAAAATTATTCCATTATTGGCACCTTTGTAGAAATCTTACATTTTTGCGATAGAATTAAAATATTCTAGGTCATGTATAAATTAGTATAAAATTTTAAGATTATAGGTCGCCAAAAGGAATTTTTCATAGTAAATCGCAAATTGAGTTTCTTACTAGAACTATTAACGAGGTTTTAACGAAAAATTGGCAGTTTTCAAAAAACCTTGTTAAAGCCTCGTTAATAGTGCTAGTAAGAAACTAAATTTGCGATTTACTATGAAAAATTCCTTTTGGCGACCTATAATCTTAAAAAATTTATACTAATTTATACATGATCTAGAATATTTTAATGCTATCGCAAAAACGTAAGTTATAATAATAAATGCTAAAAAAGTACTTAGATTTGCAAAAAATTGCATTTAATATTACTTTATCAGCGCAAGCTAAATTTTGATAGATTTTTGTAAAGACATTTATACATGTTTATTTCGTTATGAATAATATAGATTAAAATATTATTTTTTTATGATATGCCAATATTTTAATTAGTTTTGGGCATTTAAAGTGATTGATAAGAACGGTAAACCACACATTCAAGTCGAATTTAAAGGTGAAACTAAACTATTTGCACCTGAAGAAATTTCGTCTATGGTTTTGGTTAAGATGAAGGAGACTGCCGAAGCCTTTCTTGGTACAAAAGTTACGAATGCAGTTATTACAGTTCCTGCATGTTTCAATAATTCACAACGTCAAGCTACGAAAGATGCTGCTATGATTGCTGGAATAAATGTTCTCCGTATCATTAACGAATCAACAGCCGCGGCTATCGCTTACGGTTTAGATAAGAAGACTGCTGGTGAACGAAATGTGTTGATTTTTGATTTAGGTGGTGGTCTTTTTAATGTTTCTCTTTTAACCATTGAAGATGGAATTTTCGAAGTCAAAGCTACTGCAGGTGATGCACACCTTGGTGGTGAAGACTTTGATAATCGTCTTGTTTATCACTTTGTTCAAGAATTTAAGCGAAAATTCAAGAAGGATCTTACTACAAATGCTCGAGCTTTACGTCGTCTACGAACTGCTTGTGAACGTGCAAAGCGTACTTTATCTGCATCACCTCAAACTTCAATAGAAATTGATGCCCTTTTCGAGGGTATCGACTTTTACACTTCCTTAACTCGTGCTCGATTTGAGGAACTAGATCAAGATTTGTTCCAATCTACCATGGAACCGGTTGAGAAAGTTCTCCGAGACGCTAAAATTGATAAATCTCAAGTT